CAGAGGCTAGGGACACCATTCCTTACCTGTCCTGGCTAATAGCCATTAATGGACTTAACCACCATGAATTTATCCAGTTCTCTTTTAAACTCTGTTATAGTCCTAGCCTTCACAACCTTCTCAGGTAAGGAGTTCCACAAGTTGACTGTGCGCTAATGGAAAGCTAAGATCACAGCTAAGCGAACCTTCAGGGAGCCAAGAGATTTCAAATACACTAACTCTTCACCTAATGTTGTAGTTATGTTCCTGAAAAATGCAACTTTAAGTGAAATGATACTAGGCGAATCCAATTTCCCCATAAGAATTAACGTAAATGGGGGGTGGGGAGGTGTTAGGTTCCAGGGAATTTTTTTTTTGCAAGACAAAAGGCATTATATACACATTTTAAACAAGCAATTTAATACTACGCTGGGGGAAGTAGTGTGCATGTGCTGTGTGTTTACAAACATACAGTACATTACTATAGTTGGGAAGTTAGGAAGTGTCCCAGCCTTACCCTACACAGGCACAGCCCACTGGCACTGGAGATGAGGCAGGCAAGGAGGCTGAAGGTGCTGTAGACTAGGAGAAGCACATTGCGCAGCAGCAGCAGCTTCCCCTACTCTGCAAGCATCTGGGGTGGGGGGGGGGGCTCAACCCTCAGCCTGCCCACTCCCCCCTTCCCCCAAGCCCTCATCCTTGACCTGCCTCTTCTCCCTCCCCCCCACCTTCTCCCCCTTTATTTCCCATGCTGCGTCCTTGCTCCTCCCCCCTCCCTTCTAAACACCGCAAGACAGCTGATTGCTGCTGGCAGGAGAGGGAGCCTGCATGCCGAGTCCTCGCTCTCCCCCCCCCGCACCCCAAAGCGCTGCAACCCAGCTGATTGCTGCGGGCGGGGGGAGGAGGAAGGCGCTGATCCATGGGGGTCTGCCGGCAGGCGGTGCTGGGGGGGGGGGGAGGAGAGTTGTTAAACGGGACAACAAGTGAGGAGTTACTGTACAGCAAATAGTCCAAAAAGTCTTGAATCTGAGCTGAATTTGTCTTGACACTGCCCAAATAGAAAAAAACCTTTCCATGTAGGGAAATTCTGCTTAGTAGTAGAAAACCAACCCCTTGTGAGCAGTCTCTTCTCATCTAGCCTTGCAGCACCCAGTGTCAGGTGCAGACAGTCCAATACCAGATGAACAACTTGGCCATGAAGTTCAGACAGCAAGTCTTGAAGCAGAGACTCTGGAGATTGAGGATATGCCATTCCTCTCCTCAAGTCTAAGGGTGGAGATCAAGAAGTACCAGGAATAAAATCCTTTTCCAAATGAGGAATCTCCTCTATAGCCCCCAAAGCAGACAGGGATGGACCTGCTGTAGCAGCAGTGATTCATGAGAGAGGTTCCTGAAAAGGGACAGCCAAAGAACAATCTGCGCTCTCAAACTCTAACATTGTCTAAGGAGCTGGTACGATGGAGGTTCCCAGTGCTGACAGGCCTTACATAGCCGCCCCATCAGATGCTGCTTAAGTCTCAAGTCCCTTGCAACCTGCCTTCTCTTTTTGAAAGATTTGAAGATGGAGCACCTTTATTTAATGTGCCACTCTCAAGCACAGTGAACAACCTGCGTGTGGATCAGTGTTAAGAATAACCACCCCACATGATAGACAGTTTGACTCCTGGTGAAGGCATTCTACTAGTAACACCACTAATTAACCAGGATACAATCAATATGCTCAAGCTTTATAAACTATTTACAAGAAAGCCTCAGAAGACAAATAAAACCAACATCAAGAAAATGCCACATTGAACACTCCAACTCTGGCCATGGGTAATGAGAAGGAACAGAGGAGGATTGGAGCAGCACCATCTTTATATAGCCACGGTAGAGGCTATGAGGAAAGGACATGAGCATCACTGTTATAGCTACTGCTAGGCAAAGTTCTCTGGCTTTGGTGTGCTGGGCATGCACAGATCTGTCTCGTATACATGTCTGCAACCGCTTGAAGGACTGTTACTACAAGACCATAAGGCAAACTCAGTCAACAAAGAATCAGATCTGAGATCCCCATTCAAGTGAGAGGGAGGAGATGTCCTCTTTTCCCTGGTTAGTCAATAATGTAATGCAAAGTTCCATTGTTTATCCTTGCCTTATCCCCATACAGCCAATGGAAAATCAAAGACAACTGCAAACCACTGAGACCACTTGTGGTGAAAAGAAACATTTATGGCAGGCAGCAGATTCCCCTGGCTATGAATAAAGTTTCACTAGAACAGTGTAAGGAAAGGTGTCCTGTACCCATTCACTGTAGAGCCATCTTGCTGAGCGTGGGTGTTTCATTAAAGAATGGATCCTGGTTCCTGTGAAGTCTAACTCAACAGTCTAAACTTTTGGGAGAAACCTTTCCTATCTAATAAAGAAGGTTAACTAAGGACCTAGTTTGCATTTTGTTTTGTATTGTAATGACTTGTTTCCATCATACTCTAAGAAGAGATGGAGATTTCCCTAAAAACAAAATAAAACAAAAGGTTTATTTATTAAGTGCTCACAAGTGCTGTACATCATACAGGAACCCATGATACAAGATAACTAGCAAACTGGGGTATGCTTTTCCTTTGGGAACAGATCTGGGATTTTTGTGAGTAGCCAGCACCAGGGGTTGGATATCACAAGAATATGCTTGAAGGGTACTCGGGGACTGGGTGTACCTCTTGTTAACCTTCAAGGCAAAGATAGGGTTGGCATAGCCTGGAGGAGAATGCTTGAGTGGCTGATAGCTAGTTAGGTCCTCAACCACACCCGCCTACCACAGGTAAGACTCCCTTTAACTGTAGGTAGGGATAACAAGGTCACTCACATTCCTGGATACCCTGAGAACCACAAAGTATTTATGGTAAGCAAGTCATTGCCAAGGCTAGGTTACACAAAACTGATGTACATTAAATCCAATCAATTTTGGTTTTCCAACACCTCCATCTACAATTATTCTACTTGTGACAACCTTGCAGACCATGTATGAACAGGAGGATGGTAAATTGAACTGGTGCTATAAATACTAGTGAATATCAGCATTAAGGTATCCTAACACTGTAGATCAATCTCATGCAATACAAAGTCATAATACTATCTACACTTAACTACGGTGCTCAGCATTTAAAATAGAAGTGCACTAGTCCAAACAGCCATAGACAAAAAGGTGAAAATTTTACTTTGAGAAACTACATTTAGTCACCCAAAGTGGAATACTCAGTGTATCCTTAATTGGCACACTTCAGACCAGTTTTCCCTGCACCTTTGCAAATTTATTTGGTCATTCTTTATCAGCAACAGACCTAGTTATTTTTAGGAATAAGGTAATAAAAACCCTTTGCAAAACAAAGGTGGGAAGAAAAAAAAATCAATGTCTTATAAAACCCTAATGCAAATAGATTTATATTAAGACTCTGGCTCCATCTCTAGGATACAATAAACCAAAACGCATATCTAATCTATAGATTTGATATGCAAGTACTACATTTGAAAAAACATTAAAAACTTCTACAAAAGCCACCTCTCCTTGGAAACATCCCAGCAGCAGCATGACATGAACACAGTCAACTCCAGTATTTTTATATGGATGGAAGGGAATTAGAAATCAGCCATGATCTGTCTAGATCTTTCTGTACATTGCCCAACACTCAAGGTCAACATCACAGAAGTTGAGCTGCCACCATGTGCAAGATTAGCTCTATAAAGATGTACAAACCATAAAAGTAGAAGACCACTTTGGATCTGCCTGTTATGGCAGTTATTTGTACTACATTAAATCCCAAAGGGCTGATCAGGATACTGATGAAGTTGTACAAACATAGGAAGACAGCCTCTGCTCAGAAGAGTTTACACAACATAGGAAATGAGGACAAATTTTCATACTGTGCTCTTCATAACTTTTGGCATTAGACAGGTTGAAAAAAGTGGTTTCAGAGAGTGGCGTGCAGAATGCCTTTTCCTTGCAAGTGTTTTAACAGGGGCAAATACACTCTGGAGTCTGCCTCTTCCCTTGCTCCTGCATCCAGCAGCTCTCTTTTGGATTTGTTGGGCTCCTGGCTCATGTCTTCTCCATACTTCTTTAGTTTTTCAGAGCTTTGACTTCACAATGCTTTCCCTGGCCTCACTGTATTTGTACTGTCATTTGTGCTACAGCCGTATTGACTCAGGCTCTAGCCCTCACAGCTGAAAGAAAAATCCATGAGCACATGAACCAAGTAGGGATACACTGGTGTCTGCTCAACTACACTGACAGTCAAACCTAGGGGTCAGGATAACCTCCAATATGTCTAAGGCTTGTAGGCGGTGTATGGGCATCTTAAATCTCTTAAGGTTCTCTTCCCCTCCTGCAGCCTTCAGGTGGTCCAAAGGAGATGCTCCCCTGATTTCCCCTGCTGCCAAATCCTTTGCTCTCAAAGACCCTTCCCCAACATATCAAATGTTTGCAGAAACAGTGGGAACTGACTGATCTTCCTCTGCAAAATTACTCCTAACCTGAATGTTAGAATGGCCCCCCATCAGAAATATACCATCAACACTGGATTCTTAGTAAGCAACTTAAATCTAGGTTTGGGAGGTCTTTTGAGGGACTCTTACTTTGAAATGTATGTACATGGCAATCAGATACTATAGTGAGTAACCTTTAGAATGAAGGTATTCTTGTCAGGGAAGCTTTTGTACTAGTTTTAAGGTGTTCTGGTGAAAGCCTTCTTGCAAATCTCTAATATTCTACAGTGCAAGATAGGAAGGACAGAAAGACAGGTATATCCACAAGTATTTAGCATATTGAGTTAAAATACAAGGAAAGATTTCAAAATACTTCCAATGGCAAAGCTGATGAGTAGGGCATGTGCAGCACATAATGGTTGTGCCCCTTTCTTTCATGCAGTGCTTCTCCATCTTAGTTTCCTGAGGCAGAATTAATGCATTTAACAAACACACACGCTCCATAGTTTCACATGCCCTTGCTGAGGCTTTGCCAAGCACCAAAATTCAAGTTAGTATAGACATTCAACAAGATAAGTTTTAGCAGAGGCACCAGATTTTTAACAAATAGCCTATTTATGACTATGCACCCTGGGGCATCTAAGTTTTAAAGCTTCAAGTAAACTGATGCTGTAGATCCAAAATGAATGACATCTGGATAGTCACACTTGCATATTTCTAGGTGGTGAAGCAGCACACTCCTCTGAAGGTACTTGGATAATATGGTGATGTGGCCAGGCAAGTACCCAATTAGATATTTGCTTAGACAAAGCTGAAGAGACTGCTCATCTAATTCTACATCTCTGAAGATATTTGACTGGATTTCTACTAATCCACCCCCTTTCCTTGGACTTAGGTCTGTCAAATATTCCTTGGGCATTAGATATTTTGACTGTTTCATCCTAAGGAAAGCTGGGAGGGAAATGTGCACATTGTTTTATTGCTGGACTAAAAATTACATTAAGAACAGGGACTAGCCTGCTTTAGAACAAATTATAGGACAAGTTCTGGAAGACTGCATTAGAGATAGGATAACTGTTAAGCTAGGTCAGTGTTGTTCTTCTATGGACCTTCAAAAACAGGGTGGCTGATGAACCTTTCCTGCTTCTCTACCTTTCATACACTAATCCACGTGTATTCAGAATTCGTGAATAAAAGGCACACTTGAAAATCTGGTCACATTACCATACAGATTGATATTTACAAAGCCTTACTATTTATCTATACTGAAATTTTTCCAGGTCTAATGTTGCAGTTTAAACCTAGAGGCAAGCTTATCTCAAATCTGATTAAGTGGCCCTTTAGAAACTGCCATATTACTAGGTTAATGATTTACCCAAATGCCTTTGAAAAAAAGATTCTGTATTGTATTTTAGGCAGTATAACATGACCTGTTAATTTTTAGCCTGCAGACATGAAAATGGCCCTACTGGGTCAGGCCAAAGGTCCATCTAGCCCAGTATCCAGAGTGCCAGGTGCCCCAAGACACAAGAGGAATGTCCTGAAGCCAATTCTGTGGCCTTTATGGCAGAAGACTAAATCCACAATCATATCAAATACCCAGAATAGACATTTTGTCAGAGCACACAAATGTAGAGGGTAGAAATTCTGGAGTCCTCTATACAGTGCTGCATGGATTGCATCAGAGCTGTTGACACTTATCTTCTACCTTGGTCTTTTATGTGGAGCCACCAAAGCAGGTGCCTAAATGCAAAAAGATAACCAACCACCAGAAGATATGCCAAGTGCTGGAGTCAAAATACTTAATTTAGAAGTTTCAAATGGAATGATTAGAAGGCAAGGGGATATGAAAAAAGGTGTTGGTATTTTTACATTAGAGCAGAGTTTACGAGTTTCCTTTCCTCTCCAACCACGGTCAAGAAGAAAGTGACTGAGGGTAGCAGAAGGGTATTGAACCAGGTGCTCTGCAGGCCACTGTGCATGTTCTACTGCTCTTTACTCAGGACAAAGGACTGCCTAGGGAGTTCTATCAGTCTGGTACCAAGGAGTTAAGAACTAGGAATGAGAATCCTGCACAAATGGTATTTTATATAAGAGTAAATTCCATTTTAAACATTATAGAGGATTAGCTTATATGCAAGAAATATTTTGACAACTCCAAGACAATGTGTAGGACTTAAGTGTTATTCCAGTCACAAGTCTCCTTGGCATGCAGACAGAAAATTGAGTCCAAGTTCTGGATTTTAACCAAACGCACTGGAGGGATGAAGGAAAAGATTGGGAAAGGCAGCAAATAGCTGAACTACCTCCATTTTTGTAGATCAGTGGCTCAGAAAAAGGGAGACAATTCCAAGAGCAACAGTGGTCACACATACCCATGTTGAGACAGGCTATTAGACTGTCTGGAATGATGAGCACACAGGAGACAGAAATGTGCTCCTATTTTCACCTCTATAGAATGCAAAACTAACCAGAGGTATTACTTACCTGCAAGTCATTTTCCTTCTGAGCCTGTCCTGATCCTCCTTTATTACAGGACCTCTATGAATGAGAAAAATTAAATAGTGAGAAGATGAAAGCCAACATAATTAGCAACCACCAGAATAGAGGGAGTAAATAAAACCAGCTACAGTTAACTATTTAACTCTCCACTGACTTAATCAGTAATATCTACAACACTAGTCTCCAACATCTGACCACACCGCTCTTATCTCACTACATACAGTAGTTCACGCCAAAGCTTTCAAAAGGATGTGCCATTGAGATCAAGCCACTCCCATAATATACTGGAAGCCAAGTATTTTCCAATATTTCAGACAGAATTTTGATTGGTTATTGAAAGTTTAGAAGAATCTTTTTAAATGTTAAGTTCTTATTGAAATGTTCATTTTACTTTGGAAACTTTACTTACAGGAGGGATGTTTAACAGTGAAGACATTTAGGCCAGACCTACAATACAAACGTACACTGGTATAACTATATCGCTCAGAGCTTCGAAAAATCCACACCCGAGTAACGCAGTTATACTGACCTAACCCCTGCTGTAGACAGTGCTAGGTCAACGGGAGTGCCTCTCACATCAACATAACTACTGCCTCTTGCAGAGCTGGATTAACTATAAGAAAAAGCTCTCCTGTCAGCATAGTAACATCTTCACTAAAACGATACAGCGGCACATGTATAGTTGTACTGCTGCAGCCTTTAAAATATAGTCCTACCCTTAGATACATCATAGCCAGATTAAATACAAGTCTGAAGAGAGAAGTACTGGCAGAGTGACACTAGAAAGCTTGCAGAGTACCTGTTTTGCTATATCTAGATAACCAGATTACCTTTTAGCTTTCAGGAATACTAAACTTGATAAAGTTTAATCACTAAGCTCTACTATATGTGTACGCTATTTGTTACACGTACTGTAGGTTCTTGTAAATCTAGGACTTAAATTTTCCAACAAATTGTGTGCATATATGTGGAGGGTGTCCTCCACATATATGCACAAAATTTGTTCGAAAATAAGATGCCTTGATGAAATTGAATACAAAGCAAACAATTAACCAGTTCCATGCGTAATGCATGGTGCTATGTTTGTTAATAGCCATCATAAAGCAATTTCAAAACATTAACAAGTCATGCCCTCAGCAGCTGAACCCTCAGTGGCACATGCTTTTAATAAATTTGTACATTTAAAATGCAAATGGGAATAAAAACCGTAGTCTCTTAAGGGTTTGAAGGCAAAGCAACAAGTAAGCAAATATTTGCTTAGTTCTATTCAGCATTTTGTGTGGCTGCTATTGATGTTGCAATTCTGCTGCAACGTTGCTGTTTGGGTATTTAAACCACACTAAGTGTGAAGGCCCATAAAGGAAGCCTCCATCTCATGATCGGAATAGAAACATTTGATTCATGGAACCGTGAGTATACCATTCTGTTTCAAAGCTCTAACAACATAGCCATACCAAGGGTGGAAGTGTGGACTGAACAAAATACAAGTTAAGCATCACCATCTGTCTTAAGTACCACACAGCAAACTAATGATTTACACAAACTATACAGCTACAGTATTTATTTCAAAAGTTACAGCAAGGATGTAGTTGATATAATCAAGGATCTGTCAGAAAGTACTTCCTATTCCACTAAGGTACTAAGCTCCTAGCAGACAACAATATGAAGGCTACTAAATTAGTATATATTCCTTCCAATGAAATTAATTAGTCTTAAACACCCACTGAGCCTAATGTGTAATTAAGCAATAATGTTAGGCCTTGTACAAGAGGACTCCTCTGAAAAGTGTGTCCTATGTCAATACCACTATTGCATCTTACTGAATATTCCTGGAACAGCCAAAGGGTTACTCACCATCCAGGAGTCTTTCCTGCTTCATGATGCTCCTAGAATGGTTCAGTTTATCAGAAGTTAAGTGGATTAGATGGCTTTTTCCAAGACCTGAATAAGTATCACTTTCAATTTATTTGGTTCATACTAGTATCAAGAGACTGGTCAGTACTCTTGTATGAGTATTCTTCAGATGGGTGCCTGAGAATCTTAATGGCATCTACTGTACTATATCTTTAGGAGAAAGTAATGATGGCTGTGTACTGCAGATTCATCAGAAAATGAGACTTCTGCAGCATTCCTTCTTTTTGGTTACCTCAGCACAGAATGTTAGAAGTGTCCAAGCAAGGCAGAAGATGAAATGTGGAAAAGTTATTAAATTAATGGTTTGCAATTATGAAAAGAGGGTTAGAGTTGAGTAGTACACAGATGGCTATCCATCTAGTCATGGTGCAAATTAGATAAAGCTCCTGTTATAGTCTGTCAAGGAGGCTCTTTAACTAGTGAATACTTGTGGACTGAGCTTTTTGTGAGAAGTTTCTTTAAGGCTTAGATATTGGAGGTTAAGAAAAAAATAAATCTCATTTTAGTTGAGATAATCAGGAAGTCACCGTAAAAATGTTTGAGGCACACAATTATTTTCTTGCACCACCAGTCAGAACAGACAGTGCATGTAATTCTCCTACTCTTGACCAAACAGCCACCAAGAACGCAGTTTTCCCACAACAGAGCTCACTTCACAAGTGATCAGAAGCTCAAGAAGTGCAACTCTAGTTTTTAGAAGAGCCAATGCTATTGATCTTATGTTTGCTTTAAGAGCAATGAAGAGATTTTTAGAAGTGATGAACTATTTGAAGTAGAGAACCAGGATTGGCTCCCAAGATTTCTGTAGGGAAATATTTTGTTAACTGTAAAACACATAAAATGGATTTCAGAACATGTATAAGGTGGTCGTGGGCCATTTCTTAAAGTAAGACTACAGAGTAGTGTTCTTGCAGAAAGGAATTTGCTTATAAAGCAGATTAAAAGTAAACCTAATAAATTCAAGGTTACTAGGTGCCAGTGAGGACAACTATTTAATACTAAGATGCAGGGGGGAGGGGAGGTGGGGTGGTAGAAAAGTTGCTGCAAGTCTTTAGAGCTAGTAGCCAAAGGTGATTTCTCCCCACCCGCCCAAAACCGACCCTTGATCTTGAGTAACTAATCTTTAAATTTTTCCCACTCCAACCCTATACAGAATCTATTAACCTGTGTTGAAGGTTTCTGTTAGATGGCAAAGATGGTTGAAGGCTTCTTTGTTAGATGGCAAAGACTGGGTCACTGTCTAAATTTAAGTGTTAAGAACATGACTGATTTATATCTATACTGATCACATATGCCAGTTTGACAAGCAGAATTTAAATTTTGCATTTTCATCCTGATATCCCAGGATTTACTGGACAAGTTGGCTTCTATTGGAAGATGAATTAACACAACCCTGAGTCTTTGGAGGAAGTGAGTTTGTCAGCTAGGGTGACCAAATGTCCTGATTTTAATAGGGACAGTCCCGATATTTGGGGCTTTTTTTAAAATATAGGCTCCACTAACCCCCACCCCCATCCAGATTTTTCACACTTGCTGTCTGGTCAGCCTATTGTCAGCACAAGCCTATAAGGGTGGTGAAGCTTGTTATGCTTTAGCAATAGTCCCCAGCTCCTTGTTTGCAAGCTCATTTCTAGCACTGGAACATGCAACTTCGTGGATTTATTCCCTTGCTGGTGACTCTTGGTTTCAAGTGGCCAAAAGAGTTAAATGCATACTGAGTCACAGAATGGAAACATTTTCAAACCCTGAAATCTGGTCAGTACAACTCATGACCAAGAAACATATTGTGTATAGTACCAGCAGAAACCTGAAGTCCTCCTTGGACTCAAGTCTGATGGTGAAAATGGTATGCAAGCTACCTGATAAGAGGGATGCCCAGAGTTCTCTATTAAGCAGAATGGAATAAATATATTGATTCAGACATTGAGTTCCACCTGAAAAGAATTATAGCTTGTGTTGTGTTGTCCTTGTACCTAGGCAAATCTGAATGAAATGAAACCAGAGTAACTTCATCTAAATCTTAGCAACTGGGAAGTGGTGGGTTGTTTTTGTTTTTTAGGACCTCCAGTAGGAACTCTGCCTTATATCAAGACATCTCTAATCCTCTTGACTTCAGACAAAGTTACCATTCTCTAATGAGGGAGCAGAGGAAAGGAATGGGGACTATTTTGTGCAATATTTTGGTATTTGAAGTTACTCTTTACATATTTAGACAGCATAAATAGCAGCTGTACTACTTAAGTTTTACTATTTTCTAAACATATCAAAACCTGGAACTAAAAAAAATGAAAGCTGTAGAGAATGCTCCAACTTCAGAGATCTCATACTATACCGTGAATCGTGTCTGTCACCTGGAAACCAGAGTGCTCTAGGCACGATCGCATGGGCAAGCCTGCAGCAGAGAACACATGCATATACAACTAAAGTGGTACATTACCCTCAGAACACCCTTAACTCCACCCAACACAAATATATCCCCTGTAAGAGGTGCTTGGCTTCATTCAAGCTATCTGCCAGTGCCAGGGATTTCTAGTTATTCCATGCTACAAACAGACATTAAAAACAGCAACAATCACAGAAAACATTGATAATTACAGTTACACAGCAGTCTGCATTTTATTTAGTTACAAAAAATAAAAGGCAGCAAGGCAGGTATGGAACAATTTTTGACAGAAATGTGGCAACCATTTCAACTTGTTCAGTTGTTTGCTTGAATGAAAGGTTAGAGACCAGATAGAACATTAGAGTTCCCAGGTCTTCCTTTTCTTCATTTATATGTAGGAATTTGTTTTGGCTGTTAAACAAAGCCTCAGTAATGCTGAGTTTATACTTCTTTTGACAGAAAAATGGGAATGTGAATCATAATCCCCCAAGTCATCTTTTGGTAGGTGAACTTACATAAATAAAAAAATTAAGTTGAAGTTATAGTACCAACTGTTGTAGTAACGTGGGAGCTTTTATGAGGGAGATTTAATTCTGAATATAAATAGGAAAACAGCACACAATATTAGAATGTTCTGCATATAAAATCTAGTCTCAAAGTCCAAAACATTAAGTGCACTTTAGCAAATCTTTCAGTTCAGTAGTTTATACACCAAGATAGACAACAATTCAATAGTCACTTGGTTGCATTGAGAAGTTTTAAAGTTAAATGCTCCCATAATAATTTAGCTCTGTGGGCAGGAATGAGAAAAAAAAGCAGCAAAAGACATTAGTTTACTTTGAATGTATGTGACATATCTGCATTGTGCCTCAAACACTTCAATTTTAACGTGGTTAGTATTTTTACCTTTCACAAGCACAAATACTTGTCCTCTTTTAAAAAAAAATAAAGATCTGCTCAAGGATATACTCAAGAGAAGTCCTTGATGTGTATAAACATCCATGCCAGTGAGACCATTCATAATGGCCAAGCCAGTTCAGCTCCACCCTCCACCCCACATTCATGCACACAGAAAATTTCTTAAACATATAAACTATTATGACAAAGGAAGGACAAAGCTATCCTTGTGTGGCAGCTTTAACCAACTGGCATGGTTTATATTTGATGAGTTATATGTACTGACATTTGTGTCTTCCAAAATTCATAATAGCAAACTGGGATCATTTTTTATTAGCAATAAATGGTTCTCCCAAAGGTGGCTCGTATTGGAAGTAGTGGTGCCAGTATCCTTCATTTAAAAAGTCAGTGTCACCTACTTTTCTCTGTTTCACTCCTTTATTATTTATTATGAATACAGTCTTCACTGAATGAGGGGACCTAGCATAGCTTGCTTTGTGCACCAATTTCAACAGAAATTGGAACTGACAAGTGTTCAAAACCGCTACAGCAAAGGTGGCAAAACGAGTTAGAACTTACAAGTGGTGACTTATTTTTCTGAAACTATCACTGGATCTTAAGAAATAATTTTAGGGTTAGGCCCCAGAACTGACAAACTTCTCAACTAATGTCCCTATTTCTAGATAGATAGATAATATATATATATATAAAATCTATCTATTTTTTTTTAACTGAGCAAGTGCTACTTTTTAATTATCACTAAAAAGGGAAGAATTTTGTTCACGCGTTCTTTATAACCATGCTTAAACATTTTAGTTTATGCCACCAGAAATTCACTACAATCCTAAGTGAGGCTTTCAAAATACCCCAATTAAAAAAAAAATGCAGTTTGCTTGTTTTAATTTGAGTTTAAGATGTAGGTGCTGGAAGAGACAAATGTTTGTCGACAGAAATTGTGAACCTCAATGCAATCTGAAAGTTTTACCTTAGGACTTTCACTGCTTACTTAACCCTTAGTGAACTGCACCAACAAGAGCAGTCATTTCACTGCCACTACGGAAATAAAGGAAGTTAGACATCTCAAAAGATCCTTCAACACCAAGACGAAAAAGGTTAGAAAAGTTCTGATTGTACAGTTTTAAATGATTTAACAAATTTAGACAAATTAGTCCTTAGATTTTAAAGCCCAAAATCTTGTTTTGATTCCTTTATGAACAGGGCAGAAAAGAGGTAAGTCAAGAAAAAACCCAGAGGGAAAAGAGGCAGGTGACTAAGCTCTAGTATTTGTAGTTTGTTTTTCCAAACTTTTTCAATACACAATTACATTCGAAGCCTCTTGTTACTAAAAGAGATAGAAGTTCTGCTCTTCCATTACTCAAATACAGAAGTTTTGCAGTCCATTTTCCTACTCAAAACTACTGACATTTTAAGATAGACTAAAATTAAAGCTATAAAATTAAGTTATTCTACTGTGAAAATCATTTACTGAATTATAAGAATATCAATCTCTATAACCGATTTTGTAAATGGACTATGGATTAAGTTTATTTTAAAAATAAAAAGTTATCTTTCAGAAGGTTTAACTAAAACAGAAAGTTATTAAAGCTTGGCTTAACTGAATACTATGTATTTATCAAATACAGACTGAATTCTTAATTTAGGTCCAGCTGTGCCTGGGTGGTCTCAGACCAGTGGATAATCTATGGCTGTTGCCGCAATACTTGGCTACAGTGGGCCAAGCTAAGAATAAACCCTTTAAAATGAATGATGGTCCAGGCTTTCAGCAATCAAAGTCAGGACCTGAATCTCATTTTTATGTTATGTGTATATAAATAAGATGCATTTTGAGATTAGTTAAGTGCCACCTTCAGGTTTAATTGAATGCTATTATCACTTCCTGGTCAAGTCACAGTAGGAGGAAGCATGGATTACATTTTCAATAATAATTAACTGATGTAATACCTTCAGAAGATTATTCCAAGGAAATGACTGGGAATCGAAGGAAATTGCCACCAACTAATGGTCAGCAAAAGACAAATTTCAATCACATGGGAAAAACTGAACATTGTGTGAAGTGTCAAGAAAGGTAGATAAGATTAAAATTTGTTCCATAGTTATGCACAGTTTTAGCTGTTAATAATTTTATAATAGGTCACCTTTACAGAGTGTTTTGTATACACCATTTGGAAGTTCACCTGTTAATTCTCTTTTAGAGATTGACAATTACGTGGCAATATTTACAAAGGGGTTTTAATCTTGGTACTGACCAATTGGCAGTGAGAGCAATATTGAAAGAATGTTTGATAAAGAGCTCCATGTTAGTAAGCTGCTATGGCAGTTGTAAGATCTAGCATACATTCTGAAATACAGGTTTTGGAATGAGACAGCTGCAGGGTACTGGATGTTTGGGTCCAAAGTTTTAATGCTATTAAATACTGTACATCAATAGGTTTTACAGTAACCATAATAGACATCTACTCACCATAGGTCTCTACAAAATGCTCAAAGACTATTCAGAGTAAGTCTGACAAAGCTTCAACTTAAACCTCAGAAGGGTTTGTGAAAGTGAGGCTAAGATTTAAAGGATTTACAAATTGTTTAGTCCTTTGAAATCTTATTAATGATACCAAAGAAATTCCTATAGATTACACAGTAACAGATTTTATACCTTGTTTTGGAATATCACACTCCAAACTCTTAATACCAGAAATAAACATTATGGACCAAACCAACAGCAAATGAGCCTTCAGCTGATACACGCGAGCCAGGATTTCTGTATAGAAAGGAGTACAAGTTCTAGGCAATGACAAATAATAACAGAAACTGACAAACTAGAGATCTATTCCCACCACCACCAAAAAACATTCCCCAACAGTAAGAGTAGAACACACTTGCCTTTTGACACTGATATTTCAAAAGACTTAAACTAATTCTCCAGATATAAACTATAGAAACCCCCCCACTCCCAAAACGTTCTATGTACTCACCATCTGTAGGATTGCACCATATAAGCGGAGGAGAACTTTTCGTGGCTCATCTGCAACCGTCTCCATGGTGTCAGGTAACGAGCACTGGAACAGCATGTTGCTGAGGCCACCTCTATGAAAAGAAAGGTGATGTTCATAAAGCCTACTGAACAGCAGAAAAGTGTACATTCCTCCCAGATCAGTGAAGAATAGATTCTGCTTTAGTACATATTCCAAGGCTTTGGACTGTCAGATCTGGAATGAGTGACCAGATCTAAACACCAACCAAATTCAAACTCTTCAGCACATCACTAAACCACAAATCAGTAAGAAATTTTTTAAAGACGGCTCATAACATAGCTTGCCATTAGAGACAGAAATCTAAATTTTTATTTGGGGGAAGAAAAAAAATAGGTGTTTTACTTATTACTGTGGGACAGTGTGTTTTTCTGCTAAAGAGTTACATTGGAATCTAGCCTGAGGAATGAAGACTTTTCCACATTTTCAAATGCCAATTTATTATTTAAGTGAACAGCAACAGGATCTATTTGGGGAAAGGCTCATGAACAGAATAGTAGATATGAAGGTCAGGACTGACATGTTTTAATGAGCTTCTCCCCCAGTAGCTAAAATGATGCTGTTCTAAGCTGTACTTGTCTCTTCATAAGCACTAAACCCCCAGAAAGATTAGATTTAACAGTCACCGAAAAAAGTTCAGTTATTTTATCTTGAGACATGCAGTTATGAACACAGAAGTTTGGCAGAAGTTTTCATTCACTTCTGCAAACTTGATTGTGTACTATGCGCTCTCCCTTTATTTATTTGTAATGTCAGGTATTGAAGGATACCATCAATTAATGGTTTAATTAGAACCCCAAAGAAATTGCATGATTTCAGCCCTGCTTACCCATAGTAAAAATAAAATAAAAGTTTCACATGGTAGTTTCATATGCAGAAACCTGTAGATCTAAAATGTATTGAAATTTGATTTGCACTAGCTCTCAGTTTAACTAGCTGAATATTCATTTGGGGAGCCCTACTATAGTGGGACTAGCACCTGTTACAAGGGGTTGTGAAATAAACATCTCTACTATATGCTCTGCATGATAGGATTAAAAACCACACAAAAAGGAAGCTCTAAGCTTAATGAAATAGGTTTTCAGCTTGTACCCCTTTTACTAGAATAGTTTAAAATTTTACTTGAACAAAAACTTCCAGTGCAGCTTGATCAGTCAAAAGAAGGCCTATTTAACTATCTATGGACAACAAATTAGTGTGATGGCATGTCAGCTCATTCTGCAAACAGACTAGATTTACACAGTCTGTAGCTATGGTTGCAGTGGTGTTCGGTCTTATGAAGTCCAGTAGTAAAATATTTTCATAGAGCATTTTTAAATGTAAATTTTTGTATTTAAAGAGTAACCAATAGTGTCAGAGGAGAAAAACTGCCTACAACTGTGACAAGAGTTTTATTGAGGGGAAATGAAATGGAATACATCTGGAGTGATTTTCCTCTGCTGGTGGTCCAACAGCAAGCAGAATATTTGTCTGATACCCCTTTTATAGACAAAGAAAAAATGGAATTACAAGGTTGATAAAGCTAGGCAAGTAGAATAGGATGAAAACTGAAAATATTAGAATTGGTTCTCAACTTCATAAATGGGACAGCTAAAAATGATAGATGGCATCTAGGGTTATTTTTGTTCCTTGTGGTTGGGACAGAGTGATGAGTTTGTCAATTGTTCTAGTTCCAAAAGGAAGATAATAGTTGGCATCTGTCAGATGCTGAGAGGGCTGCAGTTTGGCACTTGTACAGTCAAATGGATTCATCTCGATAAGCAAGCCTGGCATTTTTAAATGTTTATATTACCATAGACACTCACATCCCATCTAGGATTGGGATCCTACTGTGCTAGGTAGTATACCAATATATGATCGAAGACATCAGGGAAACATGCAAAACCTGAGAAATGAAGATGGTGGTCAGCTTGCAGTGGTAATCACAAGAGCCTCAAAGAACTGTGAGATGTTGGGTGAGCAAATAAAAGTTCAGAGTTAGGCATCTCCAGGAAGTTACCATACTTTCAAATATCTAGTCAAATTAAAATATGGTACCTCAACTAGCTATAGCTGGACAGGCATCTGTCAAGGGAGAGATTCAGTATACTTCTGGTTCTCTCTCCCATATCAGCAAGATCACATTGCTTTGTTATCCTGGAGCTAATACTGCTTTGTGTACCCCAATTACAAGTTCATCTTTTGAAAGCCTTCAAGCATTTAATTATCTTGGAAACAGCCTGGTTATCCAGTATCTGGACCAAGTTTATTATAGCAAATTGAACCTCCTCCTTTAAATCATTTCAAGATAAAAAAATTAGATTGAACACTTATGCTCATATCATACCCCATTTATGCTCACTTATTTCAAGCTAAACAAAGTGCTACAGAAGACTTTACCACTACATTTACATATTAGAAACAAGTAGGCAATCAGTGATCTGATTACCTTGAAGACAACCATACCTTTTTTTCCCACCCAGTAAATTATTCATAAGGCAGCAGCAAAAGATTGAGAGGGAAAGAAAAGAACACTAACTGATGCCACTCACAACTGCAGGATTTTCCTAAGTTTCAGTTATTTATGATTACAGATGTGCATCAACTCTTACCTAGAATGCATAAAGCTATGTTCATTACAAAATTTCATAATGTCTGAAGTACTGCATTTCAAAGAAAGGTCTTTATGACAGTGTTTTACAAAAATGGCAGCTATTGCTACATACTCCACTTGCTATTAGTCTTATCTTTTAATATTTCCAATGTACTGAAATAGCTTAGAAGGGCCCAGGAGAACCTTGTTTTTAAAAACTGAAATAAATTGGTTCAACCATTTAAGTTCCAGTATGCAACATAAAAGTTTGTTATTGTCTCAACTGAGCTTTGATTAAGGAGTCTTATTTAAAATGCAGTTGTACCCTGAAACACGACTATCTAAACCTAGTTCATTCTTACTCAACAGGTATGCTCCCTGCATACAATATTCAGAGTCATAACAGGCTGATTAATGAATTGTTACTTTTGACTTCTGTGAGCACTGCAGAGCTAGCAGTCTAGTGAGGTGATTTCAATTCATTCTTGAGCATGACTAACAGAATTGAATACCAAGTTACAGCTGCAGGACCAGTTAGATTTTGCCCACATACCTGTGCAACCCAGTTATCTTCAGTGGGTTTGCACAGGTATGAGGGCAAAATCTGGCCCGTGGAACCTTTTT